AGAATGGGCAAGGCGGTAGGTTGCACCACTGTATGCACCTGCAGCAAACAGTGTCACTGGCATCTGCACTCTCATGCAGCCTTGACAGGGAATGGTCTGCATCTTGTGATCAGTCATCATGTAGCACAGATTTGCAAGGAAATCTATAGATCAGACCCTGGGAACTGAGGGGAAAAAAGCTTAAAACGTTCCAAAATCAAATAGCAGATGAAGCTCCTCACAGATTTCTATAAATCTCTTTGTGTATTTAACTAGTCTCCCAGTTTGACAGAGCTGAAACTAGAGCTTTTCCAAGCTTGTTAGTCTCTGTTACAGCAAAGGGTAACAGACAGTACCTCAACTATTTTTATCTTATCTTATTTATGGCTTTAAGTAGCACTGTTAATTTCATTTTGCAGCAATAGCAATCAGTTGAGATGGTGGTTTTCTGCTACAGGTTCTCGATACGAGTCATCCTGTATTTATGTTAAATAAAATATGCAACAGTACGTTTAAAATAAAAAAATTAAAGCTAAACACACTGGATTGCCATGACAACACCTGCTACCTACAGGAGAAGTTGTGGTTTTCTGTATATGCCAGAGATTCTGGAAGGAAAAGAATGCCTGCTGAAACTTGGATTTTTGTGTTCAATTTGCAAATAAGAAATGACTCTGCTGTAATGCAAATGCTGTTAGCCAGCCTGGGGGAAAACTGGTTGACAATTAAGAGTCAGATTCTACCAATCACTGGTAATACTCTGTCTTGTCTGGGATTAGCTGATAGATAGGTAGATGTTATAGCAGGGATTTTCTCCACTGGAATTCTGGGAGATATGAAAAGCAATATAGAGAAGATCATTAATTTAAAAGATAATTCACTTAGTCAACTAATTAAAAGAAAATACTTCTGTTACCATTCGCAGGTAGGTTGCAGAAACATAATTAGCTTCTGAAATCATCCCATGAATCTTCAAGTCTTCAAAATTTGCAGACCCTCTCCTTGCAGTTTCAGCTTTGGAGAGAATGTTCTTCAAACATTTCTCCTGCATTTAGATTTCTCCCTAGTTAGCTTTGTGAGAGGAGAGACAAGTGGAGGTAGAAAAATACCATGTGCTTTAGAGATCCATAAGTAAAAGCAGCACAGAATTGTCAGTATCTATTATTAGCATCCTGTTATTTTTCTATTTCTAGTACCTAGAATAGCGATCGTTTCTACAGCTTTGTTTTCTACAGCCATCAATCACGTTCAAGGATGGGTTACCAAAGCTGAAAGCATATCCAGACTTTTATACTCGAGGCTTTCTTGCAGCTTAAGAAGTCATGCTAAAGTCGCTCAGCAGCCTCTTGGGACTTGCTTTCCATGTCTGCTTTTGGCACATAGAAGTTCAGAGAGAGCGTTGAGGCTTGGCAGTCAAGAGAGCTAGCCAAGGGTTCTCACTAGAATGTCTGGAGATGAGAACCAGTTGGCTGTGTGTAGACAGTAATGACTGTCACAGGCTTTAAAATAGTTCACTGCTGTTGGCAGAGTGCATTTAAGATGCTAATTATTGCTGTAATGGAATAGGGCAGTTGTCCATCTCCTTTGGGAGCTACCTCTAGCTGTGAGCTGTGCACATGGCTTCTGAGGAGGATGAAAATACTGCAGGCACAGGAAAGAGATTTGGTTACAAACCTACGCTGGTCAATGCTTGTCCTGGAGTCTTCTTCTCATCTCCCATGGCAATTTGACCATCAGAAATGCTTTAACACTCACTGATCTGGCTATCCTGAATTCCTTTTAAAATCTGCTAAATGACTTGATTTGCTGTGGCAGCAAAACTGTTTATTTCTTCTGTGCTGCATAACAATTTATCAGCTCCTGTCTAATCAGTGAAGATGCAGAAAAATGAGAGGTCTGCCTTTATGTGAAATGCTGTAATTTGCAAGGGTCCAAAATACCTTCTCACTTCTTCCTGCCTGGAATCACAGAATGGCTGAGATGGGAAGGGACCTCTGGAGGTTATATGGTCCGAGACTCCTCCTTAGACAAGAAGGAACAGGTTGCCTAGGCTCATTCATGTCCAGGTGACCTTTGGAGATCTCCAGGGAAGAGACTCCACAATTTCTCTCAACCTGCACCAGTGCTCCATCACTCACACAACACAGAAATGCTGCCTGCTATTTGGGAGGAACCTCCAGTGTTCCAGTTTGTGCTCGCTGCCTCTTGTCCTGGTACTGGGCACTACTGAAAACAACGTGGCTTGGTCCTTTTTGCACTCAGCCTTCAAATCTTTATAGACACTGATGAGATCCTCCTGGGCCTCCTGTCCTCCAGGTTGAACAGTCCCAGCTCTTAAGCTCCCATCATGGCAGAGGTGCTCCATGCCCTTTGTAATCCTCATGGCCCTCCACTGGACTCTTTCCAGTTTGTCCACTTCTCTCTTACACTGGAACACCCATAACCAAACTCAGTACTCCAGAAGTGGCCTCACAGCTGTTGAGTAGAAGGAACACCTCTTGACCTGCTGGTGGTACTTTGCCTAATGCAACCAAGAATACCATTAGCCTTCTGAGCAGCAGAAGCACATTGCTAGTTCTTGTTCAACTTGGTGTTGAATCCCCAGATCTTCTCTGCAGAGCTGTTTTCCATCTGGGTTGCACCCAGCATGTCCTAGTGCCTGGGGCTGTTCCTCCCCACGTGCAGGACTCAGCATTTCTTGCTGAACTTCATGAGGTTTTTTGTCATCCCACCTCTCCAGACTCTCAGGGTCCCTCTGGATGGCTGTGTGGCTTTTGGGTGAGTCTGACATTCCCTCCGGTTTTGTGTCATCAGCAGATTTACTGAGAGTGCACTCTACCCTACTATCCAGACAGCTACTGAAGAATTTAAATGGGACTGAGCCCAGTATTGACCCCTGAGGCACTCTGCTTGTTATTGGGCCACAACAAGACTTTGCACCACTGAACTCTACCCTGATGATCTGGCCATTCAGCCAGTGTTCAGTCCACCTCACTGTATGGAAACATGGTCTGAGAAAGCAAGAGAAGATTTCTGGTGTGTATTGTGACTTGTTAAACAAGTTGCATGGCCATCATCGTGATTACTGAAAAGTGCTAACATGCAGAGCATGAAAGGAACGTGCTCCAAAAACTTGCCTCTGCATAGGCATCAAATAGAAACCTAACTCAGAGCTTCTGAAAATCCTAAAATACACACTTGTAAAAATATTATATGCCGTGACATTATTCAGATTGATGTACATGGATATGCACTGGATCTTAGTTTGGCTTTTAAGTAGCTGTAAATAGATGTTGGCAGCCTTTTCTGGACTGTTTTCTTAAGGTTGATGCAGAATCCTGCTGGATTTTCCAGCCAAGCAGAGGTTTGGGCACACCATGTATAACTTCTCTGAGAGCACCAAAGTGTGATTAAGTTACGTCAGGTTCTGAGTTGCTGGGTTTCTCAGTAATGCAGACCAGAAAGGATTGGTTCGGGGACTTAAAAAGAAATAAATAAGTGAAAGGACATATTTGTTTCTTTAGAAATAGCGAACAGTCAAAATTTAAAGAAGAGTTTGAGTAGAATTACATTGCTTTTTTGAGGAATGCTTTCTTAAATAGAAACCGTCCTTTTAATCGCTAGTTCTGCTAAGAGAGAAAATGAATTTTGTCTCGCTTTTTTCCTTGTTTATTACCTTGGGGAGGAAAATGAAGGAATGGAAGAGAAGTGTGCTGAGCTGTTGAAAACCTTTAAAAATGTAGGAATATGTCATTTTCCATCAGAACTGTGAACTTAGAAAGATCTGGGTGGAAATGGGCATGAGCATTTTCCACTTTTTACAATTACACTTTATTTCAGCTATTGAAACCTTGTTGCTTTTGGGTTGCTGTGCTGCTGGGTATATTCATTTCTTAGATGAGAAGGGAAAGTGGTATCCTAACTGTTGGAAAATTCTTCTGCAGAAATGTAGGCATGTTCCATCCCCATACCATGGCCCAGCACCCACCTGAGAAATTCCATCCCAATTCCCTGAAGTCACATTCTGCTTCCATATCTTACCCCTTCTGCAGCAAATACAGTATAGTGCCTTTGGAAAGGCTGCATTTTGACCCCAAAGAAGCGGCCTTGTAAGTGGCAAATGAAGCAGTTCGGTTTGCATGGCTCTACATCTCTTGGGGATCTTTTGTTATCATTTTAATAAACCTGCTAAGGTACCATGGCAACTGGGTGTGATAACAACAGCCGAAGCAGGCTCAGATGGAAGAAATCCCATGCAGGATCTATTTGTTTATTTATTTGTTTGTTCATTAATTTCTTTTCAGTATTTCCTTTTTTTTTAAATTATTTTTTTTATTTTTTGTGCTTTGCACAATGTGAACTTTTTCATTTGCATACTAAGGAAGGCTCTTGCAGTTCTGCTTGCTAGACTTTGTGATTAAGGGAATAAGCTCCAGCCTTTTGCGTACGTATGTAGTTGAAATTCTGGAGATGCGGTTTGAGGGAGACACTTTTTGGGGCAAGTAGTGGCCAAGCAGAAGGCTGGAGAGAGGGGACGCTTTATCTTTTGTTTTCTAATTTTTTTCTTTAACCTGATTGCATGCATGCTCTTCTTGTTCAGACTTCTGAAGGTCCTGCTTACTTGCCACAGGGTAGTGTTGTTCCTTATTTCCATTCTCTGTTAGTTTTCTCTGTATTGGGAATATCAATTAACAAAAATTACAACAATTTAAAAGACTCTCTACTTCTCACTTCTATGGCTGTTCCCCACCTTACTAAGCTCACATGGGATTGGCTGAATATCCAGTATTGACCTTAATCATCTGTTGAAGTTCCTCCCAGCTATGTTAGCATGTCGTTATTATCAGAGAGATATGGTGTTACCTGTGTGTGCATAGCTATTTTATTTGCTTCCTTCTAGTAAGTAGTAAATATCAAAGTCTCGATCAGCATGAATTCAGCTCTGTTTTTGGTATAAGGAAAATATTTCGTGGCTTTGGTGGTCATCCCTTGTATTACATTACCTTTTTTTTCTTTTGCAGGTTTCTGACTTACTCTTACCTCCTGGCCTTCAACGCGTGGCTTCTGCTGGCACCCATTACTCTGTGCTATGACTGGCAAGTCGGCAGTATCCCTCTGGTCGAGTCTGTCTGGGATGTGAGGAACTTGGCCACTGTCTTCCTGGTGCTGGTGCTGGTGTTACTTAGCCTTCACTGCCTAGCTGCATTCAAGGTAACACAGAAAGAGATGCAATTCAGCATTTTGTTTAAAACTTTTTGTTTCCTAAGCTTCAGCTGAAATTTTAAGCAATTTTCCTCCCAAATGAATTGGGTTGAGATGGAAAAACATACCACATCTGACTATTTGAATGTGTCAGTCTCTAATTGGTTTGATTTGAGGACAAAACTTGGCCCAGAATCCTGCATACAGTGACTGATCCAAACCCCAGTGAATTTTCAGCCTGCCCCACAGTTGGTAGGCTCTTTACCACTTGCTGTAAACAGGACTGGGGACTGATATCTGCAGAGCCATTTGAAAATGAAATTTATTATTGTACCAGTAACTTAGCTGTGCTTTTAGAACACGTCTTGGTTACAGCTTGATGAGAAGGTTCCCCATCAGCAAAGTAACAGAATATAGGAAGTTTGAAATGATCTGGAAAATGTTATTTAGCATAAATGATCTAGTTGGTAAGCTGAACTTCGAATTCCAGCACTTCAGATCCACTGTTAATTTTATTACAGAAATGAAAGTGAGGGTGTAGCAGGTTCGAGAAGGGCCAGAGATCAGATATGGTCTGGCATAGAAGAGTGTCTTTGTAGTGGGGAGTTTCTAACTATTCCCTGTGCAGTTCTGTTGTGGAAGTTTCGTTGGGAAAAAAATAGCAGAGGTGTAACAAGTTTTAATATCTTTATTATCCTAAGATGTGCAGGTCGTACATATGCTTCAGTCTACTCCAACAGTCTTCTCTGTGCTCCTGATAAGAGCACAAAATGAACCAAATGGTTTGAGACTGCAGTGTCATTAATTTAGATTATACACTGACAGGTGCTGTATGGGAAATACTGGAAAATACTCTGTTAGGTATTCACTTTTTCTACCTGCAGGTTGTACATCATCTTGTATTCCTTCTTCTTTCATTACTCACTGCTAGAGATACCCAGAAGTGTTTGTATTAGACCTAATCCTGTTTCCAGGGAAGTTAATGATAAAATTCTCATTACCCCGGCACTGAACACTTCTGAAAAAACTTATCCCACTTCTTTGAAGTTTCGGGTGCTTTTATTTCTTCACCTGTTGTTGGAATTGGTACTGTGTGCAAGATTAATGTCACTGGTTTGCTGGGAAAAAGTATTTCAGAATCATCCAAAGACATCTGTGTGGGTAAAATGGCAATCCAACAGAATTCCTTTGAGTAGCTAAATTATTTGTCTTTTGTCAAACTCCAAAACGAAGTATTTCAAAACACTTTGTGCTTTAAATGTCTAGATTTTATTCATTTTTACTCCTTTTTTAAAGGCAAAATAATTCTGTATGGGTTTATGAATATGACTATTTGATTTGAAACTAAAAGGGTTTTTTTTTTTTTTTGGCAAGGATGATTTTAACGTTTTAACCACTGTTAACATTTCCTTAAGCAAAGTGAATTTCACTCTCCAGGCATCTACTTATTGAACACCTTGAAATTCATGATGTGGGTTCTCTTCTGCTTGCTGTTGAAAACTGCAGACGTGGAATGAATTGGATCTGAAACAGTCTACTTTTGTATCTAATGCAAGTAGAATAATCACGTATTCTTGACAAAGTTCTTCAGCCTCAGCTCACCAGTTTCCCAGCAAAACTGCTGTGAACATGGAGCCATTAATGGTTTCTGGATGTCAACTGGGACATGCTATGCCCACCCCTAGAAGCATCTGAAGCATTCTGCTTTTAGGAAGATTCTAAAATTCTGAATTTCCACTTTAGCTTTAGTTACACTCGTAACGACCCAGCTAGGGGGTTAGGTGGTGTGAAAATGACTGTGAAATACTGAGCAGGATGAGAGACATTTCCTAGAAATAAATTGCTTGGAACACTCAGGAATGTCTTCTGCCGTGAAGTTTAGGATGCATGAACTGCGGGTACAATGCGTGATATTTAGGCTCTTAAGAAAACTTCTTTCCAGCTGTAACAGAGTGGCTTTTATTACAGCATTGCTTACCCGAGAAGACTGTCCTTCTATCAAGCCCCCTTCAAACTACATTGCACTGTTGCAGTTTGTGGGTAGCATGAGATGTGTCAGTTGGTTTTTCACATTTCATAAAGTTTAAGAAGTCCTTCTTTCTTCCTAGGGCAGACTCATTGAACTGTCTTAAGAGCCATTTTCTTTCCTTTTTCATTGTAAAATCCAACCTGGAAGTAACAGCTTGAAGTTTTCACAGGAATGGTTTTAGAGTGAGCCAGGAAATAGTTTGTGCATCTTTTCTTTGCGTGTGTAGGTGTGAATAGGCAAGAGAGGACAAAACCTCATATTCTTTTCTCATTGGCACGAACTCTTTCTGTGGCATGGAGGATGGAAATGGTAGAAGTGGTTTTATTGGAACTGAAGACATCTGTGGAGTGAACACTGAATTAATTTCCAGTGGCGAGTGGTGGTGTGTGTATCCACAAAACAAGCTCATAGGAGACTGTCAGAATATATTACGTGGAATGTAATTAGAGAATGCATGTATTGGATTTCTGCCTTTTGTTGCCACTGAATTTTAAACAGGGCTAATTTGTTGTTGACTTTTGTGACTAGGGTAATAACCCTGTTGGCATGTATGTGGGATGCTGATAAAGGACATCTAAGGCATGGAGCTGTCTTGTTCCATTTCACTGTGTGAATGTTGTTTTACCTCATAAAGGGAAATAAATAGTGCAAGATTTCCACCCATAAGTGCTTGGCTTTGTATATGTCTGTTTCTAGATTGGATAGAGTTCTTATGTTGGAAAAGCAGAAATGGAAGGCAGACATCGAGTTTGTCAGCTTGGAGAGAGAAACCTCTCCCCTTGTATTTGTGTTTTACTGTTGATTTCCTTCTTACACAATGAGGAAGCCACTTTAGAAATTTCTTTATGAATTCCTTATATACAACTTTCATTCACTGGGTTGTTTCATGTCTGTAGTGCTAATCTCTTGTGTGTTGGCCAAAGAGTATGGAAAGAGCTCTCCTATGAGCAGTTCCCCAAGAAAGATATGCTGCTTTTCAGTGCTTAGGTGTGCAGCTGTGCTCATGTCTTACTGTAATTGTCCCTGTCACAGATGACAATCTTCAGGAAGTCTGATGCACTAAAGGAACGGCTTGCTCCTGGACATACTGCAGCAGTCTCCTGTGTGAGTAAAGGACATTGATGTCATCTCCAGTGTGACAAAGCATGGGGCATTACAGCAAATGCCCACATCCCAGAGAAATAGTTGGGGAAAAAAAGACGATGAATTTTGATTATTGTTCATTTTCAAAGCCAGCCCCAGCCTGAAGGAGCTGAGTTGGTGTGTTTCCAGCTTTGTGTCTAATTAGTATGTTTTCTAGCTAAGGTCACTGGAATGGCTGAACCACTGTCTCGTTCTGGTTGCCAAGCAAGCTGGTTGCAAAGCCAAAGGAATAATCCGTGGAATGCATCAAATGGCCACTAACATAACCAGGGGCCCATAGCACTGCCTTTCTATACTGGAAGAAATGGTGAGCACCTAGTGAACTAGAGAGGACAATTTTTGGCATATCGTCGGGATGACAATTATTTCTTTGACATGTCATAATAAGTCAATGAGCGTGAAAGGAAAACCCTTCAGATGTTTGAAATGCCGCTGTGCACGGCATTTTGAGGTTGCTGCTTAATTAGCAGTGTGATTAAAATGCAGTTTGTGCTGTTGTGGCTTTGAGTGTATGTGCAGAGCACACAGTGGATTGGATTGTACATTCTATATGGTACCAGCACTCAACCAGGGGCAGCCATGGGGAGGGCTGAAAAAGGGAACACTTGGGTGTGTCTAATGGGCTAATTTTGACCAAGGTGATCTGAAAAACTAACTCAAAGTAGTGACTAATGTACCCAACCAGTCTGGGGCAATTTATTTGCCTTGTACAGTTTGGCCCTCATCTTGCATTAGACCAGTGCTACTAGGTACGTAATGGTGGCCAACCACTCCTTCCCCTTGTTCAGCAGAACAGTCATGTGCAACAGTTTGTTCATATCTTAGGAGGGAGTGCTTCTTGTGTTTCACATCAGTAATAAAAAGTAATCTCTATATCCTGTAGGAACATATTGTTCTGAAGAATGTGCTTTGCTGCTGTGTAATGACATTGCTATGTATGGCACAGGAAGTTGTGCTGATTTTTGGTTTATATTCCTTACACGCAACTGTGATGTATATTATTATTCTGTTCTTTTATATGCTACAGTTCATTATTTTTTTACTCAGAGATAATTTTAGTTTTAAGGTAATGCTGCCTCTACATTTCTCTGCGTAGTGCTCCTTAGCCAAGGCAAGGCATTTTATACCAAATTATTATGACTTTAATTCTTGCCATAATTGACAACCTGTTATCATTTATCCAGAGCTTTATATGTATGAATATCTTCCGAGCATATTCTTGAGCCTCTCACAGACTATATTTCCTAGCTGTCAACATTCGATAGCATCAGGAAGGGAAATGCATTTGTGTCTTCTCCTCGTGTGCATGTTTCTGTTGCTTTTGCAAGCACTCATTATGTGTATTCTCTTGTGCTATTTACTTTACCCTGCACTCCCAAGACCTTTGCCTGGTTTCCCAGATTTGGCATTTCATTAATAAATCACAGCTTATGGACCTTTCTGGGGAACAATCGCCTTTTGTAATATTCTGCAGCAGTAACAGCACGGTTGGAAAGTACGCCTTGCAAAATTCGTATTCCACAACACTCCCAGAACAATACCTGCTTCAAAGACACTGCAAGGTGAATAAGGCTATTTATTGACTGAGTCTATCTGACGAGTTGGAAACCACAGTCATTTTCATAAAAGGTCCATTTAAAATAAATCCTGCTTTCATTTTCCTGAGGGCCCACTTGAATTCCTTCCACACAGAGAAGGTCAGGACTGATGTTCTTAATCCTTAGCAGCGCGGTTTTTTTCTGTGCTGCTTCTCTTGTTAATGTTTGCTTCAGGGAGAGAGTAATAAGCCAGAAAGACTGTGCTTGGCGAGAGCTGCAGGAAACGGGGAGCCCTGTGC